TCTGCGGTGGTTCGCCCGGGTTCCATCCAACCAGATTGCAGTCGTATCAAGGCCAGATAAGGAGATGAAAATAGAAGTTAGCCGCACACTTAGAGCGAGTGCATCTGCGCATGGTATTGATGATCTGTGCGCGGCATCGTCTGAGGTTCCTGAGAGTGGACTCGTATTGAGGAAGGAAGAAGGGTAAGACTGTTATAGCTTCACCCGTGTACTTAAGCGTGACGGAAAATTGAATCTCCAGCTAATTGATCACGTTCTGTGACAGGGTCGCAGATACGTAGCGAAAGACGTCACCCGCAGCGGTAAGTGGCGAAAGCAGACTAGGACTGTTCCAGTTGATGAAAGCTCCGTCGTCCCCGTTGGTTGACAAAAGGCAGGTGAAGTCAGGTTTGTGGGCATCAGATGCGACGAAGCTAGCAGAGCTAAGTAGTAACGGATTGGCTTCAGAATCTCCGTCCCAGTCGACTCCGACTGGTGATCAAGAGATTACCTGGAACTAGCGATTTGGCTAAATAGGTCGGCAAACTTCGGAGTGGCTCCGCCTGCAGAACCAAGGCGTGAGGAAGATGGCCTGAGGGCACTTTACCTCCTTGTTTCCAAGGGTGCCAAGTTGCATATCTAGCTAATCGATGAAGTCAGCTCGCCAATTTGTTTGCAACCAGTATGAAGGACAGGATATTAAATGGATAAAATCTTTGGTAACTCTCTTACTTACATGGGGCTGTTTTCAGAAATGCTAAAAATGACCTGCGAATAGACTCTTTGAGGTCTATTTAAGGTCTGGGAAAGCTCTGTAGCTGTCAGCCTGGGGCTTCCAGATCCGACCATGGTTGCCTCGGGATGGATGCTGATCGAGCCTGATAATCTCCCGGCTTGAGTCCAGCCAGTCAGACCGACAAGTTTAGATAATAAGAAACTAATAAAGTTAGTGGAGGTCATTAGCGCAACCTGGCCATAGCGCAGGAGGATTCCACAAAACGCGGGTTGCCACCCGCCTTTTCCAACCAGGGTATCCACCGACATCGTGTGTGTTTAAGCAAGTAACGTAATTTGGATAACAAACTCCTGCCTCTTGGTACTGCAGAAGATCATCCTCACGGTAAGCAGATGAAAATCTGACAGACAGCTCCCGCCATACATGTCCACTGGGCTAGTTACTATCGGAGCTCGATTCCAGCAAATGATACCCCGTTCAGTGCTCATGCGGCGCTGAAGACGCGTCTGGAAAATACTGCGCCTCTTTGGCCTATGTTCCTTCATCCTTGCTCTCTTTTGTGCGAAGGCTCCGCTCTACCAATGGTACTAGACAAGGAATACAAGGCTCGAGAAATTTAAGACAAACACCTCAGAATATTCCATGTCATTTCATGAACTCGAACACACTGCTACCTGCGTCCTTTATAATATTCCGCTCAAGGGGCCTGCCCAGCGCCCTTCAAGCCAAGATTATTACATAAAAAGAAGCGCCCTTTCTTGATTGGGGGTGATGCATGTTGGCATGCTGCTCACCCCTGTAGGGATTCCTACAGGGATTTAGAGTAGTTTTCGTTTGAGCCAGCCAAACGGCAGACTTTGTGTTTTTCGGTATTCACGTTCTTGATTAATTATTTATTCAGTACTTTTTTCTTTTCTTTTCTTTTCTTTTTTACCTTTTTTTCCTTTTTTTCCTTTTTTTTTTTTTTTTTTTTTTTTTTTTTTTTTTTTTTTTTTTTTTTTTTAGATTCTTCTCCTGATGAAATTAGGTGCCGCTTGAGACCAGATCAAAAAGCGTGCTTGTTGCTATGCCGGGTCTAGATTGCCGTCTGCGTATGACCGGTTGTCATTTTAAGCTAGACGCTTATGGAAGACTGCGCATGAGGTCGACTGGAATTGGCTTTCGTCCTACAATATTCTTTGTGCCGCACCATATGTTGATGTGAAGTGATAATGGCTGGAAGAGGATTATCATAATTATATGTCGTTCAAGACCTCCAAAGAGCGAAGCATGGACCTGGTGGGACGGAGATTTTCCCCCTCAATTTCAGCGCAACTGATATCGCACAAACCGCAAAATAGCGTCTTGGCCTAATACCAATATTGTGAGCTAGAGAACCGTGATCGAAATTACGCAATTTAGACAGACTTGAGTGGCGGGTGGGAGGTCCCAACGCAGGGACTTTTTTTGAAAGCCAATTTTAACTCTGGTAAGATTTTCCAGAGGATCCGGCGGCCCCACTATTGGGTACCTCAATGCAGGCTGTGTTGGAGGTGAGCTGCATCCGGCACTAGTCCTGTTCTATAGCCTAACCATTCCAGTTTCGATATCAGCAGATATGGGTCATACATTCACCAGCGTCTCATGCATAGAGTAGGGAGTGGGCAACCGCAGGACGGCCAACGGAGCCCCGAAGGCATTTTAAACTCCATTAGCATCCGCCCTCCTAGCCCGACTGATCAACGAGGCGATCTGGGTTACTAAACCAGTCGCTTCAACTGTGCCCATCTGCTATGGGGCTCTTCATGTGTTCGTGGCCCTCGTGCGATAAGGTAGGCGATAAGATCCAACGTTTGTTGGCTAGACTGACACGGGACATCCAGACCTTTGCGCGGAAGGCTGACCTCTCTCGGCATTTCCGGATCCATATCAACGAACGGCCTTATGTTTGTCGCCAACCCGGTTGTCCAAGGCGTTTTCATCAACGGTCTTCTTTGACTATACATCAGAGGATTCACACGGGCGAAAGGCCGTACCTTTGCGAAATCAACGGTTGCCAGAAAGCATTTAGCGTTGTATGCCAATATGCTATTATTTCTGGTGTTCTTATAGCTGAATAGGTCCCAGCCCTCGAGCTAGCCAGTTCCGTTCGTTATAAATTGAGGGCCGCTTATCTGGATGTTTCAAGCAGTTTCTTCCGCAAGAACGAAGTACAGCAGCATCAACTTCAGAATGATCGACCGAACATCATCACCTTTGAGCAGCACTGCAAAGCACCAGTTACTAAAGAGCCCCGCATAATCGAGGATTTCTCCACCGAGGTAACCTCAATCATGTCTTTGGCAGTGTTTTTGAACGGTGGTATTTTCACTGAGGACACATCCGGTTGCGACACTATAGACAAACTACAAGGTCTAAATACTCAGTTACCAGATCCGGAAGTTGCTCCTTCATCAGTCCTTTTTTGCCAGACCCAGATTATGTACCATGATTCACACGACATTGATTTCCAATATCTGCCTTTCATGTCCCAGGTTTGGGCACAACCGCAATTCACATCACCTCTTTGGCAATTGGAACCTACAACGTCCAACCCAGACAATCCTTTCAATTATTGTATGTATGATAATCTTGGGCCTACTTATGCATGCTATCAGGCGGGCGATCACTATTTATAGTATATGTGCATTAAATTTGCTGTGAGAATGATGATGCTGCCTAAGTAGACCGTGAGAAATATAACGAGACTCATAATTACACGGTTTCATGAAATCTAAGGCTAGCAATAGTCTCCATCACCAGATAAAGATGTAATATGAACGTGGCTTAACTTGCTGATAAGCACGCAAAAAGATACTGTAATGTTCAGCAGTATTGACCTGTGCAATGAGGTGATGGTGTAATGCTAATTAAGGCCTGACAAAGTTGGCTTTTTCAATGAGCGTTCAAATGATCAAATGTCTAAAGTAGAGAAGAGTGTTACGGAAGGTTGACCTCTCAAGCCTTCCTTAACCCTGGGATCGTCTTGACCTAAGCCCTGACAATGGATTGACTTACACAGGTTTGCTCAACGTACAACTAGTATGAGGACTAATCACGGTCGGGGTTGGCTAAGGTGGAACGAAGGCAAGGCCAGTCTTCAGCACGTATGATGAAGCCTGTCAAGAAGTACTAGACGAAGTGTTGTCGCAAGAGTCTTGAGTCAGAGTAGTCTGAAGGTAGCACTTGGAATAACAATAGCATTGATCACGAAGAACAAGTAAGACTAAATACAGGTGGTAATGAGCGTCCTTAAATATCCTTCGTGCCTGACTACCACCTCGACTACCATTCTCCTGACAACTTCCCGGTAGTCCTTGTGGTAGTTGTCCCGACTACCTACCCTGGTTCTTGGCGATGATAGTCCCTATGGTAGTTTCACGTGACTCCGTCTTTCCTGGGGCCAGGCTCGCGGGCTCCCTGGTCTCTTGGTGCTCCTGAGGCTTTCTCCTGACTTCCCCGGGCCTTGGTGGTGTCGATGTTCCCAAGTTATCAAGTCCGTAGAGGCGCGTATAAAGTCTAAATTCCTATGCTTGAGGTCTGTTTTCATGGTGCATATAGGAATAGGAATAGTCCTCAGACACTAGTCTAAAACTGGGGCTTTCTTTTTCCGGTCTCTAAAAATGAAAAAAAAAAAAGTGCGTCATTGATCCTATGTTAAACTTCCCGATTCATCCATTAAAAGTTCCCTTCCAGTGCTGGGTGGAGCAGCAAGAAGACATTATCCACTTGGGAACGTTACATTTGAATAACCACTATTTGTTTAGAAGCGATTGTTACTGTAGGCGTAGTGGCTCCGTGTGAGTGTCCATAGCACCCGCTGAAAAGACTATACGTCCTAGCGCGGTCCAGAAATCCTGTCATGTGAAGGCTGTAGATAGCAGAATACTTATTCATAAGCCCACCTTTTTCATTCAGGTAAGAGATCTTCTGCCTTTCATTATTCTACTCAACTCTCTTCCTTAACACAGACATTATCATGTATTCTTTACAGATTATCGCGCTGCTAAAATTAGCATTGGCAAGCCTCAGCCTCTCGCAGACAACTACTAAGTGCAGTCCGCTAGAGGGTAAGCATGCTTTAGAGGGTAAATTTGCAAGTAACTAACATGGCTTGCAGAGCGTTGTCCTCCAGACACGGGCTTGAATAGTGAAAGCTTCGGTTCAGATTTTACCCGGGGTAGATCTTCCTTGGCTGGTTGGGTTAATATTAATAGTAATATTGGCTTTGGTCCTGACGGTGCCGAGTTTACTATTGCGAAGAAGGGAGATTTGTCTACTATTGAGACGGATTTTTACTTCTTCTTCGGCAAGGCCGAGGTTGTGTTGAGAGCTGCAGCTGGTATTGGAATTGTGAGTAGCATTGTTCTGGAGTCGGATGTTCTTGACGAAGTTGACTGGGTAAGTTTTCTGTTTAATTTTTAGTCTTGTGATTCGCATACTTGTGTCTACTTTTGAACTCAAACTCAGCAAATTTCTGTTTTTCAGGAAGCACTTGGAGGTGAAACAAGTCAAATCCAGACCAACTACTTCGGCAAGGGAGATACTTCAAGCTACAATCGTAGTACCCACGAGGCTGTCGCTACGCCCCAGGAGGTCTTCCATACCTATACTATTGAATGGTCACCTGAGGCCATCACCTGGTCCATTGATGGCGCTGTTCGACGCACTCTGACCTATGCCGAGGCTAATGATGGGAGCCGCTTTCCCCAGACACCCATGCGCTTGAGACTTGGTATATGGGCAGGTGGTGACTCTGAAAATGCTCCTGGAACTATTTCATGGGCTGGTGGACGCACAGATTATGCTGCTGGTCCTTTTACCATGCACGTCAACTCTGCTTATATTGAAAATACCTATCCTAGTTCTAGGTACACCTACGGAGACAACTCCGGCTTTTGGGGTAGCATCAAGACCGATGTTTCCAGGCCTCCGGCTTGAAATCACTACAGTACGATTACGTGATACGCTTACCCATTTGATTCGCATACAAGGCCGTGGCTCTGGGAGGAAGGTATATGTTTTTTCTTTCTTTTCGTACCGAGTCAATTTGTCAGAGCGATCCCCTGCTTGACCGCCTCAAACGTCGCGGCATGCTCGAGGTGATTCAGGGGCTGGATCCCCAACACTGGCCAAATAGTTCCACCGACCATGACTTCTGGGTATAGGGCGATAGCCAGAAGCCTGGTTAATAGATTGAACCAGGTTTAAGGTCAATTGAACTGCTTTTTAGCGAGAAATTTCAAAAATTCGGTCTGAGCTGAGAGTAGTTGTTTTTACGTGTTGCAATTTCCTAGGAAATCCACGCGACCGGAACGGAGTACAGTGGGTGATCACCTGACGATCGTCCCCATCTGACGATCGATTTCAACCACCACCTTACCTACAGAACATGAGGCAATTCAACCACATATAATTAATATTATCGCTCAATTTTTTGGTGGTGTAATATAGTCATTATCTAGAGTAATTTAATGAATTTTAATTGGTCCGGAAGCGCTGTGGAAGCCGGATCTCGCGGCCTCGTCGATTTACAGTAGGAGGGACCTCTTCAACAACATCAGGCGACACTGGGTTGATATCTTGAGGTTTTTGACGATTCAAAGCTTTAGATGGCTTCTTTGGGGTCTTCCTTACTTGCTGGAAGTCTTTTTGGAGTTGCTTCTCTGCCTCCTTTGCCGCGCGAGCTTCCTCCTTCTCCTTCTTCTTTTGCTCTGCCTCCAAGCGGCGCAACTCTTGCTGATGTTCCCGGTTTCGCTTGCGCTCTTCAAGTAATTGCTGCTTAAGCTCTTTAGCTTCCTGCCGGCGGACCTTTTGAAGCTCTTTGGAAGCCTTTAGCTCATTAGCAGCTCTTTCCTTTTCAAGCTGAAGGTCACGCGCTTGCTGAATCTTTTGAGGCGAGTAAAACACTGCACCACCATCCTCTGGAGCTTGTAGTTGAAGCTGTAGAGGTTTCCCACGTTGTCTCTTCTTCTTCTCATTCTGGAGAGCTGTTTCTAGGCCTTCGCAGCGGAGTTTTAGAAGAATATTCTCTGTAGAGAGGTGATGCATCGTTAATCTTAACTTCTTGGTGTTTTCATTGTATACATCTGTGACAACACCCCGGAGGAGATTTTCGATTCGCTTCCAGTCTTCTGCACTTAATACAGAGCGGGATGACTCGCTAGTAGAAGGTCTTGACTCTGGTTCCTTGCTGAATCTCTTGAGGATGATCTCTGGGTCGAAGGGATGTATTCCAACAGTTTTCCATGAAGATATAATATTCTCGCATGTCAAAGCCCTTCCCCAGGCTGGGAAGAAGAGGCGAAAGAAGTCCCGTTTTGTAATATGGCTTAATCCCAGAGATATATGAAGAAATGCCTCCAGTTCATCACTATAGGCCTTCGACAGCGGGCTGAAGATCCCAACATCTAGCGGCTGCAGCGAATGGGTCGAATGAGGCGGATAAGTGACTAGAATGATCTTATTCTTATCACAGTAATCGAAGAACTTCATGGTGAGGTGAGATCCGTGGCCATCTAGGAATAGAAGCCTCCAGCGCCTCCGTGCCTTGTCCTTTGTTTCTCGATCGAAAATTTGAGTCAACCAAGCGAATCCCAGCTCATCATTTGTCCAACCGCTTGTAGAGGAGCTAAAAAAGACCTTATGGTGTTGAGGATCAAAATCCTGAAGCCATGTATCTTGTATATCGCCGCTGGCCGCTTGGTAAATAAGCCCTGGGGACAGCGAGGTCCCATCAGCGCAAATACAAGCAATTGTAGTAATCCACTCGCGATTCCCATCTTGTAGGCGCTCCTGGAAGTTTCCTTCCTGATATTTCTTCTTGGAGAAGATCCTGAGGCCTTTAGATAGCATTCCAATAAGAAATCCCTTCTCATCCATATTGTATATATTCTCCGCCTCAACCTTGTATTGGTCCATCTTCCGGGCTAAAAGATCAAAGTATCGCGCATATTTATATGCTGAATCGGCTCTCTTTCGATTTGAATCCATCGCGGTGGTGTAGGCAGAGGCAAGTTCATTATGATGCTTCTTTAGAAAGCGCCCAGGCCAGTGCTTTCCTGGCTCCTTTCCAGTCAATTCTTTAGCAAAATTCCGAAGCATCTCATGGGATATATACAGGCCTTTGTCAGAGAGCCCATTAATATATATAATAAGGTCTTTAGCCTGTTGGTTGTTGAGAATTCGCTGCTCTTCATATTGGTCTTCCCTCGATCGCTGAACACCGCGGTGGCGCCTTGACAGAGTTAACCGGTTAACCCCAAATTGTTTCGCAATTTCAGTATAATTAATTGATTTGCCTGGCTTCAGCGATTCGATCGCTGCTAACGCTGCATCCATTGGAGTTAAATTGAATGAGATATAAGACTTTGAAGTTTGGTGGTTGAACTATCGGTGAGGGCGAAATCGATCGTCAGGTGGGGACGATCGTCAGGTGATCACCCACTGTATCGTATTGCTCGCTCTGCCAGGTGAGCACAGGTGTGAATGCTCCAAACCGAAATCTGAATATACCCAGAAGTTAAGGTCTTACTCGTCAGTGGGTCGTCCAGTATCTATAATAGCCATTATGGATCACATCCCCCATTCACTTATATCACAAACCCCCCAGTTTACATCAAAGATTTTGGTTTCCACTCCGCCTTCATTTTTTTCATCGGCACGATTCCAACCATTCTCGATTGCCTTGTCGACGTCGACCTGTCCAAGAAGCTCATCGCTCAGACCATTGCATGCCTCGGAAATTATTCTGGGTAAAGAAGCGTCACTCTGAACTCGCAAAAGAGGGCGGCGGAATATAGCCAGGAATGCAAGGCTGATACCCTGGTGGCTATCCAGATCAGAAAGACTGGCGGAACCTATGTCTTTGATTCCACTGAAGATGGCTTGGGACGTTATCAAGATTAGTAGGTCGCACCGAGGTTTGGTAGTTCACTAGATAACCTCGCTGACGTACTGTTACCCTCGTCCAATTACGGTGACTATGGAGGATATCTTCCCTCAAGCAAATTTGATCGGCGGAGGCAAATGGCTGTTACCTCGCCACAGGTTTGCCAACAACGCTCAAGAACATGTCACAGGCAAGCAATCCGCTGCGGAACTAAATCCCCTTTTGAATTAATAGTGAGGGAGACTCAACCAGCGAAAAGACCACTTTTCCGTCTCTGACGTCGTTGCGATTTTCCTCGATGGCTGTCCGAATGACGCTTGTTTTACCCAGCCCGCTTTCTTAGACAATTCGTGGTTTTCCAATGATGGGATGATTCTTTCTGGGGTTCTTGCGAGCAGAACGGGTCGCGATGTCCGACCACTGGGGAATGCTGGAGTCCCGATTTGTCTAAAGTACCATAGTATTGCCCCTGGTGCTGCAGCTCTACATGTGGTAAATGCACTGATCCTCGATAATATAATAATGATGTTTCACTTGTTCATTGAAGTGAACACGACGTTGCTTCCAGGATGGGCGTGAGTTAAAGAGGGCTATCTGTGTTGAGCTCCAGCGTTAGTTGCTTAGTACTGGACGAGGACGCCAACTTACCGTTACTACTGATTGGCGTGTTATCCACCAAAGCTTGCTAAGCAATGGCTTTTCCCTGGAGAATTCCGTGATGTTGGATTCATCCCATATGCTAAGTTCCCTCTTAAGTGATGGCTTCGGCCAAATTTGTCTTGGCTGGCAAGGGAATAAATTATTCGGGGTTGGATCTGAATTACTGACTGGGATTAAAGGTCCATACAGCCAGTTTACGTCACTATCCTTATCCCTACAACATGTAAGTAAAGTTCGCTTTATATTTCGGAACATAAGTCTTTTGGGTAGCGAGGAGACCAACCAGTTCAGTAAAGTCGCGGGGAAACGTGGCAATTGTTGACTTGATTTCACCCATGCTCGCCAAAGAGTATTTTCCAATCGTTGCTTATTCTGTGGCCCTGGCCTCCTTTTGTGGAGAATATATCTCCTTGTTGCCCAGATTTCTTCATGTTCCCATGGGTTTGAGAGGTAGTCAACATTGACTTTAGCCTCCTCTTCCACCATAAGATCATCACGGGCGAAGCGCCCCATGTCAGGTGAATTATTAAAACTTTTCCGCCAATAGAAGATCGGAATAATAGGTTGAACAAGGAAAAGAGGCAAAGAAAGCGGACAATCAAGGCATTTGAGAAAATTATATAGAGTCACAAGAGTAGATAGAAGCATGATACCTTAGCCAATCTCAGAGGGATGAATAGTCATTGTAGATTGAGGAGCTGGGTATTGAACTAAGTAGCTTAACTGGGACAGCTGAAAAAAGCAGAAACTCCAAAATGCCAGAGTAATTGATTAGTATGATCATCTATTTTTGACAATCGGAATGTTACCACTTTCCGTTCTCATAATTTTCGAAGTCGCGACACCGAAACAATCTCAATGACGGCATAATCTAAAAGAGAGAAAAAAAAATGCGGAAACAGCTGGAGTAAGGGGCAGGTGCGGGGATAACAATGTCGGTGTGGAAGGATCATGTTCCTCAGGAGAAGTCATATACATACATGATTGCACAATTTATTCAACTGTCCGGATCTTTGGTCCTCGCTTTAAGGAATATTGATGTTAATGGGTAGATCTGGCAACGGGCATTACTCCTATATACGTATAGATCCGAAAAGGCATATAATCCAGATCTTTATCTCCAAAAGACACTACATGCGATATTAGAAACTTATGGCTTACGACCTACGACCAGGAACTCACAATGGATCTCGACATATAAGAGCCAGACTCAGCGAAACTAAAAGCGGCTGCCATTTCCCTTCGTGTTCTGACAGGTGAACAGTCTTACTACAAAGTCTCCTGTGGGACTCATGCATTCCTTTTCGTCTCCGACCCCTTCTTCACCCGTCTTCAGCGCCACCATGCATCCATATGCGGCTCGTAGCTGACAACCGCCAACAACCGACTTAAGCGAGATAGCCGACGGCTCCGCAGGGAAATAACCACTCCCCACGGGCTCCCTGGACTCTGCCGGCCCTCCCTCTCAGTAATAGCAGTCATCCCGAGATCTTCCGTCTTCGTGCCCAAGCTGATGCTCGATACAACAAAAACTGGTTTCACTGGCCCACTCCTCGTGGTCCGCCTTGAACCTCTAGTAACACTGTATATCAAACGTGCGACCGCCATGTCTGAACCCTTTTGTCATGACAGAAATCGTAAACCCAAGAAGAATCCGTCGCCGTCTGTCTAATAAGAAAACGGCAAAGCGTCAACAATATGCACGACGAGGAGACACTTGTTCCGCAAAGCATTCGAGTTCTGTCATGTCGTGCGGGGAGCTTGCCTCAAGAGGTAGCATGTCCTGCCCAACCCGCTGTTTCTTAATATCCGCCTGACAGGTACAACTGCTTCTGACAATCGCCTTGTCTATTCGCTATGGGTGGGGAGCGCGCCGCTACTCCAGGGTGGACGCCCCCAGGGACCTTCCAACTCTGTCCACGGGGAGAGCAAACCATGCGCAGCATCCCGACGATTACCATATAATTGTCTCCGAACTACAGTAGAGAAGGTGGTCGGGCTGGATGACATGGATGGAGGCGCTACGCATCCGCATATGCAGACACCTAATAACATAGTCATCAGATGGAGATACACGGGGCGAGACATTCCAATGTTCCGAAATGTTCCGAAGGAGCACGAGACAGTAAAATCAACAATCAGACACCCGTGGATGGCTTGTTAGACAAATGAAATATCGGAATCAACTGAATACGTGCACAGAGCCTTATGTCGCACGCTGTAGATCCGGCACTACTTGGAACACCGAACATCCGCTCCACGCCAACCCTCACACGGCTGTCCAGCGATACGGTTCTACTCTGATCCATCTTGCTTCTGCTTGCCAACATCTGCGGAGTTGACCAGGGGTTCCTTCCAATCCTCCAGGTCCCCGATGATGCCTTCTTCGATCTTCTGGTGTTCTTCCTTGTAGGAGGACAGGAGGACGTCATATTCCAAGGAACGGCGCTCTGCCTGTCGTTTCTCTTCCGAGAGGCTGGCATTGGCGTTCTTGAGCTGCTGGTTTTCTTGTCGAGGCGCTGACTGTCGGCGTTCTTGGAGACGTAGGACTCCCACAAGCGCCAGTAGAGGGCTACGAGGCGTGCCGCCTGGGCAGCCAGAATGGGGTCCTTCACGTCCAGGCGCTCCAGCTCACGGGCCAAGGGTCTGAAGGACTCTGCGGCCGATGCCACCTCCTCATCGTTGGTGGGAGGTTCCAGCTGTGGAAGTACGATGAGTATGGCGTTCTTGGGTTCGTGCAGAGCTTGCTTCTTCACATACCTGTGTGGAATCTTGATTAGGTGGCTCCATGGGTTTTGCGCCTCTGCTTTCGTCAGCAGGACCAGATCGACTGCAGGACGATTCATGCTTGCGTTTGGGGGGACGTTCCAGGTAGGAGGCCGTTGCTTCCATAGCGCAGCTTATGCCTGGCGGAGGTGGTCCGAATGAATAGACGGAGGGGGTTCAGACATGACATGCGTTCGACAATGCTTATATAAGAAATACAGTGCATCTCTGCGGCAGAGAGAAGAGACTCGCATATTCCTTGTACAATACTATCCTACAACAATACGAGGACGGGAATGCTCACCGATCAACTGAAGCGTTTGGCTTTTCTAAATATACATCGGTCAGGTAAGGAGAACGCTTAAGACAAATCCGGAAAGGCCAGCAAAGGGCAGAATGCGTAGTATCATCGGTCGGTGCATATGCCCGGGTATCTACGTGGGATTCCATGTCCTCTCTCCTAGTTGAAGATCGGGTCTATGAAACGGAAGAAATGCGTCTACAACACACATTGTCGACTACCTTCCCATTTTGCATTTTGTCTAACAGAGGAAAGCCCGCCTTCACTATAGTGGTTAGCGGCTACGCGACGCTGGCGATCCTTTGTTGAGGGAAATCAGTCAAGCCTAATTTATATAACGATGCGAAGGTGAATGGTAGGGTTTGACTCTGGTTTTGTTCGACGCGATCCCGTCCCCACTGTGCTGCTACATTATCGCTACAACACTTCTGAGAAGTCTGTCTGTCGGTATGAAGCGGCCGAGGTGCTTCTGTCGTTCGTGATGGCTATCTCTACGGCTTCAAACTGCTCTACAAGAAAGCGGCTTATCTCGATCGACAATATCCGAGGGCGACCACCAGTCTGAGCTACCGGGCTCACCACCGCATTCACCACACCGAAGATAAGAACACGGAGAATGAACGCCAACGGCGGTCACGCGCCCCCTCACCCAACGAGTTCAGCAAGTCCAAACTGGCGGCTGCTCTTCGGGATTAGAGCAGCCTGGTTTTCTCGAATACAAGAGCGGCCCTGCCGACGAGCGTTGCATTCGGTCGCAAACTGCGCTTGTGCGGTCGTGAACGTTTGTATGGCGGCCGGGCGTGGGCATGAGAGGGAAGGGGACGAGGGTTTCGGGAGCGCGACGGTGTTGTGGTTTATTCTGTGGCGTCTCCTCTTCGACTACGAAAAAGTTGGGACACTCATTATCCTGCTACCTGTTCAGTACTACGACTCTGCAGTACCCTACATGACTACTTTACTCTCGCGGAGGAATCGGAACGGCCATGAATCGTCAACTCTTCTACCTTGGCTGTGTATACTAGGGAATTTGTAATGGATAGACCGGGCAAAGGTGACATCTGCTGACACTCCCGCTAAACAAGGCTGCGCCATTAGCCCAGTCATGGTGTTGCTGGCGCTATTTGACGCTATTTGACGAGTAATATCTCTAGTCGCTTCAGATAATTGTCCGGGTTATGCTCGGAAAATCACGCTTTCATGGCCGGTTATGTACTGTAATAGGGAACCTCTGTATTCATAACAGGTAAACAGTAACATGCTCCATACTCCATACCCGAAGGAGTCAAACGTCTGCTCGGTTTGCCGTCTCCGTAGAGTCTCAAACTGGACAGGTGGCACCTAAAGGACAATCACCGTAGTTTGATATTTGCAAATACCCAAAGACGTTATCCAAATTTGAACCGGGCTTATGAAAACGGAACAACGTTGCTTGGCCATAATCCCCGGATGAAAGAGCTCCACCGGAAGATATCTGCGATTGCGGAGACTGCTTGTATGTTGGGATTTTTGTGCTGGCGAGGGAATGTATGATAGCGTTAGATTGCTGTGCTGTTTGCTTTTCCCACCGACGAGCGATTCTGCGAGCCTCTTTTCCCTGATTGTCGGTGTTCTATCACTCATATCATGCCTTTCTTCAGGTTCTCGTACTGAGAAATCGAGTATTCCAAGACATTCACCCTTTGCTCTAGACACCCTGCCTGTCTGAGAGCGTTGGCTGCCTAGGATATCGTTAACACACTGGCTCCTCCGGGGATAAGCTGAACCATACCGTGGCTATGAGGCTGCTGTTGCCGGATTTGTCGCTGCTACTCTCCTACCACATCACCCCGCCCAGGCCCCTGGAAATAATATAGTGAACCTTTTGCTCGATGGAGCGCGGAGTGTCGTAGCTGATCAACGATTTTGCTGCCGGATCATAGCTGTAGCTTGCAATTATACGGTCCAGCACATATTCTTCCGCGCCAGGTTGCGGCAGATCCTTATAGTCCCAGACCCCTGCTTCCCAGGAGCCTCTCCCGACACCGGTGAACGGCTTTCCCAGTCCATCGGTACCGACAAATGATCGCCCGTATAACGGCATGCCGAGGACGATTTTATCGGCCGGCACTCCAGCATCGATGTATTGCTGGACAGCTTGATCCGTATTGAAAGGAGTGCTGTTCGGAACGGATGGGTCGTCAAAAATATTTGCTTGGTGCGAAGAATAGGCACTGAACTGGCCCGCGTAGTCGTAAGCCATTACGTTCCAAAAGTCCAACAAGTCGTCCATGTCCTTGAGATGGAGGACGTTGATTTTTTCAGGGCCTGCCAGGACAGAGTTAGCAAACGGCGCACACCTTCTAGGATACTTCGACACACCAGCAGGAGATGCAGCGGTGAGCAGAAATTCCTTCCCTCCCGCGTGACCATTGCTGTATTCCCTTAGAGCCTGCTCAGGTTAACGACTCATTCTGTGCTTGCTCCTTGGTCCAGACCAACCTGTCTCAATTCCCTCAGTAGCAGGACATAGTCGCGGGCCTGTTGGTCATTTTCAGGATACTAGACGCAGCGCTTGTCATGAGTAGAGCATCCAACGAAGAGAGCGCCACATCCTACCTCCCAGTCGATGTCCAAGCCGTCCAGCCCTAGGTCCTGGAGCAGCTTGACAGCCGTCTGCGCAAATTGCTTCCGTCCATTATCCGTGCTCGCTGGCTGTGCGAAGTTAGTGGAGTACGTCCAGCCTCCGATAGACAGCAGGACCTTCAGGTTCCGATTCCGTTTCTTCAGAAGATAGAGCTGCTTGATACAGCCGTAGACGTTGTTGCCGGTATCGGACCATGAATCGGCGGCGTAATGTTTCTCTATATCCGCATAGGGATCAGAGAGGTAGACTTCGCCCGTTTCCGGTCGCACATTGGCAAAGGCGTAGAAAACGTGGGTGAGGTGGTCCACAGGAGATCCTGGGGTTGTAGCGACGGCCGTAGATTGCCTAGGGAAGATATATAGGTAGACATTCTCTCCGGCGGCGTCAGGTACACATACCCAGTTCACGAAGTATGCCACAGATCGATATCCCTTCCGATGGGTTTCCGCCTCATTGGTGGCGACACCGTCGTGACGGGGAAATTGTCCCTGGGCGATATGACCGGCCAGACTAAGGAGTGAAATGAATGCGGATCAAAGTCGCATGGCTCGTAGCGAAAAAGGTATCGCTTTACAGACTTTCTTTCTATCCCTGAGATAATAAAAGTGTGTTATCTGAAGCGGGGCGTTGTAGTACCGTAAGGAAGAGACGGAGACTACCGTTATGCCAGTTCGGCTGGCCCAGGATATAAACGATCGGAATCATACACATCGAGTCTGCCCTGCGGCGAGTCACTTTTTTGATTCCCCAGAGTGCGGAGAAAAGCAGAACTACAGGAGAGAGAAAGAGAGAAAGACCCAGTTTCAGCACCGCTAATCTTGCAGGCGTTGTGATTTGAATGCCCCTCCATGTTTTCTCGAAAGATTCAAAGTTACTGGACTCGGATTAAGTTGAAGTCTGTCCAATCGCAAATAAACGGCGTGTCTGCTTCAGCAGGTAAGTTATAAACGCGGCATGGCGGTCAAGGGGTCGTTGCGAGCGGCTGCGCGCTAGTGAACCACCCTCAACTAACTGACAGGAACTTTTTCTTCTGAAGCAGGAGTCTTAGATAAGGTAGTTGCCTGATTGGCAGGTGCAGCACCAAGCAACCGCTGGGACAAATATCCAGTGGGCAGTTGGGAACTTTCGGGAGTGGCCAAGAAGGACCCGTAGGCTCGTGCGGAGGCTCAGCGCCTCAAGCAGGCGCTTGAGAGGCGATACGAGCTTCGCCACCTTGGAGAGGTAGGCTGGTTCCTAGGAATACGCGTTATTCGAGACCGAACCTCGCGGAAGCTCTGGCTGTGCCAGGTTTCGTACAAAGCTTCATCTTCTCGGGTTTCGCAATGTACTCCATGCCCGCGCATCCCTGTACCGGAGGGCCAAGCTCCTTTACTCACTTGACACCGAAGAAGACCCGGTGTCGCTAGCACAAGGCCCGTTCCTGTTATCGTTGTGGTGTCCGCGTGAGAACCACCAGAAGATAAATACATGGTGGCTCACCGCGGCAATTCAGCACGCCCGGGCAGTGAATGCCGACAGGCACTGTCAGCATAGACATCTCCCGTTCACAGTGAAGTTAGAACTCAAGGGCTTGTGGTGGTCCTGCATCATCCGAGACCGTGTCCTGGCACTAGGCCTGCGACAATCTATTCATATAGCGGGCAAATCATTTCAATTTGAAGCGGAGAGACTCACGCTTGACGAGATACTTAGTGGCCAAGATATCGAATCACACGAAGCGGGCTTAGGATGGCCACGAGCGATGATTACCATTGCACTTTGCGGCCTCCGGTGCATAATAATAGATGGTGTGACCCTTACCATACCTCAGAACTGGGTTCGGGATATCTCTACGGGAGCAAATCTCGCATCAGTTTCGGGAAGCCAAACGCTTGCGTGAGGAGCTAAGATTGTGGTGCCGTGATTTGACGGTCTACCTGATATCGATTCCAGTACACTGCCGCCTGCAGACGTCTCAAGCTCTTTTCACATCTCCTCTTGATGTATTTCCAGTAAGTACCGCCCGTTGAAGCACCCGTCAACCCCCCTCCTAGCGGTCAGGGGTTATCCTCGAGGCAATGGAGGTATACCAGGCACTATACGACGATACAGACATGGTTGAGAACTGCGAAGCATATTACATATAGCTTTGGTGCCTGCTCCGCAGCACGGGATGGGGAAATCACAAGCTGGGCTGATCTTCTCGTCCGGAGTCCTAAGGCGTATTTTGCTCACTCTTCCTGTTCTCCTGCTCGGTCGTGACATGACATGGCTAGCAGGGCCTCTATCCAATGACATCAACAGCAACTCCGACTCCTGGCTAAATGATAAGAATGATAAAAGAAACGTTGTCATGTCATAAGGACCAAAGACACCAGACCACTCAAGCAATGATGTAATGTATCCTAGAATGTAAGACTCCGATGTAAGAAACAGTGTTGGGCATGTAGTTAAAGATAAACAAGATGTCAGGCCATGGTATAAGGACTCACCAAATGTATCCAAGGGGAGAAAAGTGTTCACCAGGTAGCCTAACTAAAAGGCGATCCGCTTTTCACCGAGCTGCTTTCCCATGTGTCGTCTTTATGTTCGTCTATAAAGTCCTGTGCACGTCCTGATCCAGTTGCAGCATCGAGGTCTTGCAAAGACTTGCCCCCGGGCTGTACCTGGAGCGTAGCGCCACCCTTCTCGTAAACCTCCAGTCTCCGCTTGAGGTCGTGTACCTCCCGCTGTAGACTCTCAATATAGTTTAGCGCACTATCGATAATCGACGTTTTGGACGGCTGCTTTCGATTAACCTGGGTCGCAATCGCGGATACTGGTGCGGATGCAACACCCTCCGAGTTGGAATTCGCAGAATTGGAGCTGCCATGGGCGACATCCGGATCGAATTTTGGGTCCATCCCGCAAAGGACGACCTCGTCCAGCTTCTGGAACTTGCTGTTGAGGTTTATGCGGTACCGCTTCTCAACGATATTGTGCGAGGCGCGGCGGCTGGCATGCTTGCTCTGCCGTTCCTGCTCGTGCAAGCTCAGTTCCGGCGCGGAGTTGCGGCGGATGCGGTCGAGCTTCATCCGGTGCGTGGTTGGAATGGGTATATGGGGCGGTCGAAATTGTGGGTGGAAGGGCATTTGCGGTTGCATATGAGGTGGTAGTTGAGGTGGTGGCGGCGGAGGTTTGTGCTGCTGCTGCTGCTGCTGCTGCTGTTGTTGTTGTTGTTGTTGCTGGAGAGCAAGGTTGCCGGACTCGGCATCGTCTGTAGGCTGCGGCCACTCGATAAATGGGGAGATGTTGAAATTGATGGGCAGACCCTCCTCGGGGGTGATGTCTCCTCCTCCGCTCAAATTCTGAGGGGTCAGCTGTGGTGGTTTATTGCAGTCAAATACATGGCCGAGTGGGCATACGTTCTGAAACAGCGGGTCGAGATTTATAAACTCCATCCCGCCGTTGTTCAGCCCTAACATGTTCACCGGAGTGTCGTATCTGGTGAGTATACTGGGCGGACAGGTGGTGGGTTGCATGTAGTTTGATACCCTCGAGGCGTTGGAAACGTCTGACCTTTGGTGGCCTGGGGATGGGCAGTCGACAGGGAAACCCTGAAGTTGTAATCCGGGGTCTTCTGTCTTGACAGGCAGGTCATTGGGAAATGGGCCGCCTGAAGGGTGGTTCATGGCGCCGATTCTTCGAGGGTCTAATGTGAGCATTTGGACTTGTAGTATAAAATAAGGTCCAGGAGCGATATGAGTGTGTTGATCCTTCAGCCGAGCGGCGCTACTACTTAGAGGAGCGAGACGGGTGGCGGCGATAATGCGCAATCCGATCCAGGGGAAGAGCGACCTGTGCGTAGTTTCCCAGTGGGCAGAGGCATCACTGGCTGGAGGTTACTGAATGGGATTGAGTTTGACTTCCTGCCAATAGAGCTCTTTTGCCATTGCATAGTTGGCGTCAATTGAACCAACATGTGATCTAAGGGGGTTGTGCCAGGTTTCAAGGAAAGAAGCCAGATCGCAGCAGACGGCCGACAAATAAAACGTCAGTGATAATAGCCCGTGCTAACGTTCAAAGCTTATGGACCCAAAGGCTGTCATATTAAATGGCAGGGAGGTTGAACCGGGCCCAGACCTTGAGCTTCGAGGCGCTGATGAAATGTGTGGTTACAGGGAAGGCCGCTGGTCCGCTGGGAATGCACTTCCTCAATGGTTCGTTTAAGCCAGACTTTTGAGGTAGGAAGCGCACAGCCCCAATCATTGCTAGAGCCGCTGTGGGGAACCGTTGAACCGTGTATTTGAGCTTGCAAAGTTTCGTCGACGTACGATAGACTTCTGTCATAACGTCGTGATCTCGGCGGAAATGTCCGTTTCCAGCTCCCCTCTGCACAGGGCATATGGTAGCAGAGAATAGCAGAGAGGGGGTCTGCGGGGTTCTGTTGCGTCGTTGACAGCCCGCTTAAGGTTCGCTCGGAGCCGGGGCGGAAATCTCAAGAAAAGCATAAAGTAGGGCCTGAAGGCCGTCTAGACTGCTTTGTTCTCGTCGACTCAACCATCTCCTGCTGCCAACCATCATGATTCTTGAGGTCCCAATTGTGAATCCGCTTGCAGGGATGCTCGATTTCACAATGCAGCTTCCACTTATCACTCCTCAAATTACGTACCAGCCAGATGGCAACCCACATGACCTGGTGGACGAGAGAGAGGGCTTGAGACTCCCTCTTAGAGTGTGCCACTCTATTCCCGATTCGTCCTTTCCTCAAAAGCCTTGGGCCCCGGATCTTCAGAATACGCCAATCCCAAGAAGCGATTCCAAAAAGGTACGATTTGCTACGTATGGTGAATCAATACAGTACTTTGACCCTACTGAGAGGGCATTGTGTGTGCAGAAAAGTATGTCTACCCACTACAGTCATTACTCGATCCTAACGGTTAAGTGGATGAAATAACCACCCCAAAAACATCTGAACCAGTTTCATAGCCTTCAGAGAATGATATAAACATCCTATACGTTAGCTATTGATCAAGTCAGAAAAATAATACTCCTTCCTAACTAATAGCATGACATCTGAAAGATGCCTGTAAGGATGGCATTTTCGGGGAGTGGCCGAGCTCCCATCACTATAGTGGCAATTCAGCGATATTCTACCCTATCATTACACAATAGAATATCAAAAGCCTATAGAAGAGTAGCATTAATAATGTGTGCTAAGACACCCAAATGAACCGGTGCAGCGAACTGATGACGTCAGGACCATAAACTGTCTCGACTCGGCCAAACCCACAGAAATTTCTGAACGGTGATGTAACTGGTTCAAACGAGAGGGTTAGGTAAACCGACATTGCAAAGTCAGTGAGCAGCTTGAAGTATGACATGGCCTCAACTATTTGAGGGACGATGATGCTCCTCTCTCAAATTGGGCGATGTTGACTACCTCTCAAACCCATGGGAACATGGAGAGATCTGGGCAACAAGGAGGTATATTCTGCACCAAAGGAGGCCAGGGCCACACAATAAGCAACGATTGGAAAACACTGTTTAACGAGCATGGGTGAAATCAAGTCAACAATTGCCATGTTTCCCGGCGACTTTACTGAACTGGTTGGTCTCCTCGCCACCAAAAGTCTTATGTTCCGGAATAAGGAGCGGTCTTTACTTACATCTTGTAGGGATAAGGATAGTGACGCAACCTGGCTGTATGGGCCTTTAATTGCAGACAGTAATTCAGGTTCAACCTCGAATAACTTATTCCCTTGCCAGCCCAAGACCAATTTGGCCGAAGCCATCAGTTAAGAGGGAACTTAGAAGCCATTGCTTAGCAAGCTTTGGTTGATAACACGCCAGTAGTAACGGTAAGTCGGCGTCCTCGTCCAGTACTAAGCAACTAACACTGGGTCACAACACAGATAGCCCTCTTTAACTCACACCCATCGTGGACGCAGCGTCGTGTTCACTTCAATGAGCAAGTGAAACATCATTATTACATTATCGAGGATTAGAGCAGTTGCGGCATGTAGAGCTGCAGCACCAGGGGCAATTCTATGGTACTTGTTGAAATAAGTGATTATTCAATTTGACTTGAGTTATCTTTTATAGGGGCGGGATGCCTCATCTATATATCTATTCCCAATCCCTGCCATAAGGTTCAGCCATCATGATATTCAACACACCCGGTCATCGTAGTCCGTTTACATAACATGTGAGCTGATCCGTTTCTACGGTCTGTTCTCGCCCAGGTTTTCCATTGCAGCCCTGGCAAGCAGAAACCACCGAGCAGCTGCCCTTCATTTCACCAGCGTGGCCCGATCTCCGGAGCACACTCGTCGTATGACTGTTTGCAAACGTCGCTTGCCCTTGGTCAACTCGCTCCACTCGGGTTCCCACATTGACCAGTCGTCGTAGCATCTTCGCCCCCGACGCGTGACCAGCAAAGAATCCATGCAGCCCTGTTGTTGGCTATTCGGGAGGTGATATAGTTATCTTATGTGTATGAAGTAGGTAAACATAGGAATAGCCGGGCAAAGCAGGAGGAACGCCCGCCGATCGTGGCTTCCACCATGTTTGATTTTCCTGGACCCGTGAGATAGTGCCACTAATCTGTTTTGGGAAGCTGAACAGGGGGTTCGAGTTTGGGTCATCTCAGTTCTCGAACGCGTCAAAACAAGATTTACGACTATGAATCCGCCCATAATCCCCCGGTGCAGCAAGAATGAGGCTTACTATGCCCATCCAGCACTTTCTGCTCGTCCTCTAGCTTTACTACGCAATAATGCGATGTAATTCCTTCAGGCAGAGGTGATGTGTCCAAGTCCCTCCTGTCCAGATGGAAGCAAGATATATATATTCAATGGCCATCATTATCATCAAGGGTGACTAGCAGGGTGCGTGCTACACCGTTTTCCTCGGTTCAATACCCAGAGACCAAAATCACATCTCATTGATTTGCATATTTGGTTCTGATTTATCTTACAATGCTCTATTAAGTCGGTGTTCAGTGCCTGATACGACACATGCGCGGATGACTTCGCCTGGCCGGTCAATCGGGCAATGCAGGTGGGTAATTTCGTAGTTCTTCGCAGGGGAAGATGAGGGAGGGAAATAATCGTCATTTGAAGGCGCATCCTGTGCTCCGAATGTAAAGTCTCGCGTGCGATAGTCTAAACAAGGCTGGTCAGACTCAATCTCCCATCAGCGACGTATCCGTCCAAGCTATCCGAAGCTTGGATTCCACAATTCTGCACGCCACGACTTATCCGGGGAGTCCCCATATGCACGGACAACAACTCAGGGAGCTAACCGAAGGGCAGTTGCATACATTCTGTGATGGTTGTTGCTGTCCCTTCCGCCGTCTCGCCGGATCGGTTATGTGGTGGTTCGTGCCCCAGCAAGATGATCATTATGTAAAATGGCCTTTCATGTGACTAGCTCGCGCGTCCTCCACAAACATCACTTCGATGACGCGTTCCAACGGGCAATCCTTCGCGTCACTGACCAGGCATGTCATCGTACATTTCGTTCAACGTTCGGAACCCTCAAGATAGGTCGTCTATCGTGTGAATATTCCCTTCTATTTTCACCAGCACCCGTCTCCCTTCGCCCGCCTCGTCCGCAGATTGAACTGCTGCTTGTCCTCAAACGAGGCAGAGCGAAGCCGGTGAGCCAAGGATGGTGTTCCAAGTGACTAAGACAGCAGGACGGCCAGGAAGGGGCGTAACGGCGGTGGGCCGCGTTTGACCAGAGCTCCTTCAACTTCAAACACCTGTCAATATTGCCCTGGTTAGCTGTTTTCCTCCCATCCCCGGCTGTGATCGCTTCCTGGATCAGTGACTGACGCTCTGAACCGACCGCAGCTACACGAGAGACGGCCAACCGTAAGGCTGGCGATCGGATGGGGCGGGGTTCACCTCTGGTAACCCTGTGCTTTCCAGGCCCTGCGAGATCCGACACGATTTCGACATCTGCTGGAGATCATTGGAAATGCCCTGAACTCTGGTTCTCGGGTGCTGCGTGCCACACGCTGGCACAACGGATTGTCACACCGGGCTGTTGTCCGCGCGAAGCGTTTGCCCGAACGAGGATGACCGTTTGCATCTCAGACATGGGCAGCCACAATCTTGATCTTCCCACATAAAATGACTCCAGTCGACAGTCTGGACCGTTGGTTGCATCCACTCTCGCACCGCAATCGCAACATGAACTGGCGAGATGGGATTTGGTTATGGGTCTTGTGCAAGCTTGGAGTGCACGCTTTCCTGGGCTCGAGGTATGCCCGCTTTCTAGAACAGAGTCCAGAGCGCTCGCTGACAGCCAGCCTGACGTGCCCAGCGCCCCGGACCAAGATGACCCTATCAACCACCGACGCGTCACATACGTGCCACGGGACCCTGATTCCAGGCTCGGCTTGATCCAATCCCGGTGCCGCTGAGGCGCTAATGTCCCGGTCTCGTCGGCTGCCCCGTCTGGCCGGTTACGATGCCAACGTTGCGGTGGCACGCGTTCGCGGACCTACCATTGCCGACACTTCCGCGATCCAGCAGTGTATCCCGCGATAGGAGTCTGTTCTCGCCGTCGGACGGGCTGCGCAAACACGAAGATGTCGAAGGAGCGGAGCACTGTGGACGGTGGTACTATGGACCGTTCGACTGCGGAATTACCGGGCTGGGGGCATGCGTTGGACCCGAAGTGACTGTTGTCGCGCGAGAAATCGACGTCGATTATGCTAGCGTTAGAACGTCCGTAGGATCAGGACATGTAAGGGAAATCTGGCAAAGTAATCAAACTTGCACGGGTGCTCCTCAAACGGGGGGCCGTTGGTAGATCGGTCATCGGGAAAAACTACGCCCTTCGGCTATTCTGGAGGCGACCCATTGGCCGTGGCTTCTGGATGGTCCCGTAGTGTCGGCCACCGTTGTGTCAGTGTTCGACCACTGATGACACGGCTCAACGTTAAGATCCAGGAGCAGAAGGTCCTCGCTCAAGTTGGGCTCAACNTCTGGACTGTTGGCTGCATCCACTCTCGCACCGCAATCGCAACATGAACTGGCGAGACGGGATTTGGTTATGGGTCTTGTGCAAGCTTGGAGTGCAGGCTCCCCTGGCCGCGAGGTATGCCCGCTTTCTGGAACAGAGTTCAGAGCACTCGCTGACAGCCAGCCTGACGTACCCAGCATCCCGGACCAAGAGGGCCCTATCAACCACCGACGCGTCACATCCGTGCCCCGGGTCCCTGATCCCAGGGTCGGCTTGGCCCAATGCCGGTCCCGCGGAGGCGCTAGTGCACCGGTCTCGTCGGCTGCACCGCCTGGCCGGTTACGATGCCAACGTTGCGGTGGCACGCGTTGGCAAACCTACCATTGCCGACACTACCGCGATCCAATAGCGTATCCCGCGATAGGAGTCTGTTCTCGCCGTCGGACGGGCTGCGCAAACGCGAAGATATTGAAGGAGCGGAGTACTGTGGACGGTGATACTATGGGCCGTTTGATGGCCGAATTACGGGGGGCATGCGTTGGACCCGAAGTGACCGTTGTCGCGCGAGAAATCGACGTCGATTATGTTGGCATGGGAACGTCCGTAAGATCAGGACATGTAAGGGAAATCTGGTAAAGGAATCAAACTTGGACGGGCGCCCGTCAAACAAGGGGCCATTGGTAGATCGGTCATCCGGAATGACCGCGGCCTTCCGCTATTCTGGAGGGGATCCATTGGACGTGTTTTCTGGACGGTCCCGTCGTGTCGGCCACCGTTGTGTCAGTGTTCGACCACTGATGACACGGCTCAACGTTAAGATCCAGGAGCAGAAGGTCCTCGCTCAAGTTGGGCTCAACGATCGCCTTGACCTGGTTACGGATCGACTGTCGAGCACAAACTGGAGACAGTGATTCGTTAGCATGGCTTCATCGGACGCATCAGCTTTTCCCAAATCGAACAGGATTTATACCGCCTACCAACATACTCCCCCGCCGCGTCTTCAGGTACGTCGTTATCGTCTGTGGCACATCTACAGACCCTTTCATGAATCGAACCCTCGTGCCGGGGTTCCGCGAGGGCTCATTCTTGCGGTTTCGACGGTAGTAAAGGACGAATCGAAGGATCTATGACGGTCAGCATATGGATCGCGCTCCGTTCGGCGGTCGTGGTACCTTGAATTCTTGGCGATCGAGGTCCAGCAAATGCTGCATGTTCACCCACCGACGATTGTCTAGAGCGAGGTAGCTCAGCTCACCGTTCTACGGGAGACCCGAGGGGTTGCTGCGACGCGCGGTACCTAGGTCCTCCATTTGCCAGACAACGATGAGCTTCCGGACCATGGCGCGGTGTTGTTCACTCGCGAGGACCAGGGTCTGGATGAGCGAGAAGACCCGCGCAATCCCGATATCCTCTACGATCAGGAGCACGATGCCGAAGCGGGCTAGAACCGGCGGTCTCCCATACGGCCCCAGCACGAGCGCACTGTGTCGAACGCTGTGTCGATGTTCGGCATTATAGAGTGCCGCCACCAGTGCGGAAGACTGCGGGTGGGCCAGCACACGTAGCGTTCGGTGGCCCGCAGTATTCAACGAGGTCCTGCCTCTCGATATGTGCCGTTGGCTGGTAGTGTGCCAGACTGCATCCCGTCCTGCCGCTGTCCCCGCCTGTCTCCATTCTCCCCCGTGTTCGGCAGAGCGCAGCGATGCATCGTCTGGTACCAGGGTTTCTGGCTCACTCAACGTGTCCTCTTGACTGGCCGATTGCTCAGACGCATGGATCTGTGCGCGCTGACCGGATAGGTGTACTAGTTTAGCGGTCGGCGCCCCGGTGTCGTTGGCCCCATGACGAGACATAAAAACGCGGCAGTTGACTAGCAAGTCGCAGGCCTGCCTGTGGCAGCCAGAGGTACACATATTGACCGGGCTCGACTCTCCACCCAGAGGGAACGGTGATGTCGATACTGAGAAGCTCATGGTGCCGGAATATGACAACCGAAGGCCAGGAGTGCCCCCAGCGTCTTCTTAGGGGAACAGCCAAGGACACCAGCGTCAGAAAAGTCCACAGAGCCGCTGCAGCCACCAAAGACCAGAGGCGTTTGAACTGGCGAATCCAGACGTGGTAGGACATCGAAGCCAGTCCGGTTACTGCCAAGAGGTAGTGGCACTTCATCGCCAGCTGTGGGTAATGGCGAACCACGGCATGCAGCGTCACGGGAACGATCAAGATCATCGAACACGCTGCCTATTTCTGGTTAGCGGACGACCGATATCCGGGGGAACTCCGCACGGAATCCTCCAGGAATCAAAGCAAATGCCTCACCAGAAATGGAACGTAATGCTGTCGTATGGCTTGCACCGGTTGGCCGTCACCCAGGACAGCAATCGCTCCGTGGAGGACGGAGTGGATGATGACCATCCGGCCGACCCATCGATGCCTAGAAGATGCGCTGGAAACCCCAAGGTGCAGCCCGTCCACAAGGGAACGAAATTAATGACCGCGAGGTGTGCGGCGCGCCGCTGCACGGTGGGCCAGGATCGAGCCCACAAGACCAGTGGCAGGATGTTCGCCGTAAGCAGAAGCGCGACCACTGAGCCCTGTTGGATAGTGGCCAGATCGAGGTGTCCGAACAGTCTCGGCAGGGGATGGGAAAGGAGTCGCCGTAATTGCATCACGTGCCATCTGATCGCCCACCGGCCACCACGGGAGGCCAGACGCCATACGAGCCAAATGCCCAGGGCGATTGCGGCGCATATTCCATACTAAGCAGCCTGCGATATGTGGAAATTCGGTCGTACCAGGGAGATGTCGTTGGAGGCATCCTGCAGGTCAGGGTCGACAGCCTGGGGAGCGGAGGAGTATTTGTATCCCGTCGGGTAACATCTGGGCCCTCATTTACATGCTTGCAGCACGATGTGGGGTAGATAAACACGGTGGGTGGTAACATGGGCGTTTTAGCCCGTCTAACTTTATCTTGATGGCTGGGCGCCGGGCAAGTGACAGGCAAGAAACTGTGGGCCTCTTACCCATCACGCGGGTGTGATGGTCCAGAACAAAACAACCTACCTCAATTATCTTGTGACGCTGTCGCTTCCGTTGCGCTACAGTGCACTCAGGCTACCATGCTCTGAACTTTGTCTTTACAATGTGTCGACCGGCGTTGTCCATTGTCGGTATTACCCCAGCGGCGATCTACTCATCTTACACTATCACGGGCTGGGCATCGATCCATTCATCATCTAAAATGAAATTGACCATATTCAGGCTACACCATTCCTAGCAAGCATGTCCCACCACGAAAGAGAGGACAGGCTCCACAAAAATCCCTTTTATCCTGCGAAGGACGCATTAATCCGCTGGTGCATCGGAGCGAACACCAACGGGGAACTATCGCTTCTGGCGTCTTCTTTTCGTTGGCTGCCGCAGGGATCGGCTGGGTGTGACCAGAGCCAAGAGCCCTTCTATCTCGCGACACAGTGTCGTGTACTCCCCACTGCTTCGTTGACCCGCTCGATGCAACGCTTGCTGTCGACTTCTGGCATGTTCCAGCTAGCCCTTCAGCTTTGACGCCTCCGCGGTAAAATCAATATACGGGATGCCCGGTGAGTGTGCAGCCACTATCCTTCTATACGTAGCTATTATTTCAGGACCAGATGCTGCTCGTACAGCAAATAAACTCGCTGAATTTCTCATGAATCCCTCTGAGAAGCATCTAAAGGCCGCAGATCGAGTAATTGCGTACCTCTATGCCACGCGATATCTAGCCATCGAGTACTCTGGCTTGACCAATCAGAATGAGACCTTTATATGTGCGAGTGACGCGTCATTTATGGACCAAGGGGATCGGAAAATCACTGAAGGATATCTTTGCAAGCGATACGGAGGACCAATTGACTGGCGAGCAAGCAACGTACGGTGACAATTTCTACGACTGAAACAGAACTATTGGCTATCTCTGAAGCCGCAAAGACAACGTTCTGGTGGAAATGCTTATTTGAAGCTATTGAATTCGATCCAGAGCACCAGATCTCAATTATATGTGACAACCGGCAGACGATCAACCTGCTTACCAAGGAGGATCCTCAAATCCGTACGAAGCTTCGACATGTTGATATCTACGGCCAATGGCTTCGTCATGAAGTTCAGACAAAGCACGTCAATATCCGATGGGTTCTCAGTGCGGAGATGCCCGCGGATGGCCTTTACGAAGGTTCTGCCGGACCAAAAACACCAAGAATTCATGAAGATGCTTGGTTTAATTGATGTAAAAAGCCTCATCATTGACTAAACAGGTATCCTCCTACACAGCTAATATTTCAACCTATCAGGACTGTACATGGCCCCGCTGACGCTGGGGGTGTGTCGACCCTTAGCGACCTCTAGTATTCTTTTACATCATCTTGGGCTGAGAAACATGTTGAGTATCAAAGCGAATCCCTGTAAAGCCCGGGCAGTGTTTGCGAACCTTTAGGAAACGGACCGTCCGCAGCCTCCTTGAAGTTGCGGATATTATGAGATAAAAAAATCAAGTACTAATTCTGGTACTCCGAGAGGTATATCACAAGACAACCACTAATCCTCCATCTTTAATCTATTCGCCACAAACTTAACTGCATATACCAGACCAAGAAGAACCGGTACTTCAATCAAGGGCCCCACCGTCGACGCAAGGGCCTGGTTACTATCAGCCCCAAATGTAGCAACAGCAACGGCAATGGCCAGCTCAAAGTTATTGCTCGCTGCAGTAAAGCTCTGCGTCGCGGCAAGCCGATATCCAAAGCCTAGTTTATACGCGATTAGGAAGGTAATGAAAAAAATTGTTGAGAAGTAGACAATTAGCGGCGCGGCGACGCGAATAACGGACACAATCTGATGGACAACCTGGCGGCCCTGGGAAGCGAAGAGAACGAGGATTGTGAAAAGCAGGCCGATGAGAGACCATGGCCCAGCCCATTTCAGGAAGACGGTATCATACCAGCGCGGGCTTGCTAGGTGACGAAGCGTAAAGCGGGTGAGGATAGCGGCGCCAAGTGGGATTCCGAGGAAGACGGCGACACTCTTTGCGGCGGTGGCGTATTCAAAGGAAACAGCGTCGCCGCTAATAACTTGGATGAAAAACACACCAAGCGGGGCAAAGAGGACCATTTGAAGGAGTGAGTTGATAGCGACTAGAATCGCGCAGTACTCGCCGTCGCCACCAGCCAGACCTGTCCAGATTAAGACCTATATGGAGTTTGTTGGTTAGAACGACTATTGAGTTATTGTGCAGGTCCGCGTACCATGGCGATACATCTTGCCAGACCGACAAGGATTAATCCCTGGCGCAACTCCGGCTCATCTGGGAGAAACGCCCACGCTAGAGCTAACTGTATTTTGATTATAGTTAATTAGTGAGCCCTGTCATGCAATAGGCCCTGAGTGCAGCTCACCATGAAAAAAGGAGCAATGATCCAATTTAGGATGACACTAAACGCAATTTGTATCCAGATCTGACGGGTGCGAAAGACTTCGTGTAGTGACTCGTATCGCACCTTGCACAGAATGGGGTACATCATGACGAGGAGACCGATAGCTTTGGCAGGTATTAGATATCGGCAGCGATTGTTGATATTGGAAGGAGCTCACCAATTGGTACAGAGACCCCAACAAATTTGCCCCTCTGCAAAGCAGGGCCCGTGCTAGGAACAAAGTTGCCCAGGATGATACCGATGGCCATCGCGAGAAAGATCCATATAACCAGGAAGCGGTCAAGGATCCCGAGGTTGTTGAATGCGGACTGCTTCTTCTGGGGACGGGCTGCATCGCCTTGTTTTTCCAGTTTTTCCACATCATTAACAGGCAAGTTGGGGGTGGGCGCTGACTGCGCCTCAGAGTCGATAGGATTCATTTCGGCGAGATGGGCTGGAGGCTGTGTCAATTCATGGGAATGGGTAGGGATTACAGTATGATAGTAGTTAGGCCTTCCATAACAGAGAACAAGCTTATATACGGAAACCATGAAGATGAAATTTGACAAGGTGGCACCGCCGGCTGTCACTGCAATAGCCTGATTGGCTGATAGTCACCGCCCTCGCGACTCAAATTAAGCCCCACTTGACGTGCTGATATCCTTTTTGACAATCTTCGTGTGAAGTGAATGTCACTCTCTTCATTTGATTGGTGCATCGTATCGTCACTCAAAATCCAGCATCTCAAAAATGGTCAAGTGTCGCACTTGGCAATCCGCCGAACTGCAGCCAAGCCTTTCTCGTATCAGAGATCTATCGGAATCAATCTGCATGCCCGCAATGATATTCGCCGCAGCCTCACAGGACATTGACGTCTCGACATGCTGTTCTGCCATTGTGTATTGGTTAAGTGGCAGCCCGTTGGCCTGGCCGCTTCCTATCCTGTCTTGCGGCACGGGCTCCTCGCCTGAGAAAGCCGGGGACGACATCAGCACATGTTGATGAGCATGCTGTTTTGTGGATAACGTGGCCATCGACTTTCTATGACCACCCTCTCTACCTAACTCTGGCGGAGCTGGCACCGCATTCTCGTTTTTTCTCGAAGCCACGTAATGATTGACTTGCAGATCCGAAATTCCATGAAGACCTAGCAGTTCCCGCAGCCATTTGTTCTCCTGTGCCACTTTTCGCCCAGCCGCCTGAACCTCCTGCGTGGCGGTTACTCCGAGTTTTTCATAACTTTGCACACGTTCTTCAAGCTCGCGAATGTAGTCTTTTCGACGCGCGCGGGAGCGGCGTTGGTTATCGCGGATTCGAGCCGCATTTCTGGTCTTTGGTTATTCAGCACTTATAAAAGGGCCTTTAGAGAATGCGGAGAGACTTACGGCCCAAGATGTCTGGTCATCTGTCAAGGCCCTCCGTGCCATTATCACAGAGATCGTGCAGAATACGAGGGTTGATTTTGAAAGTGCGGGGGTCAAAGCGAACGTGTATTTGGTCTGAGCTGGAGGTGGACTTGTGCACTTGCGCCCTGACCGCTCAGTTGCTCGTTATTCTTTATATTTCTTCCTTTTCCTCACTTCGTTTAAAGAGGCGGTATTCCAGTCGACTAAAAACGTGGCAAAAGATATTTCCTGACTCCTGGTTGGGGTTGCGAACCCTCCCATTCTCTTGGTCGAGCATTCCGCACGTGGGGCTTGGCTTGTCAGCGCGCCACGCCATTGATCTTCCACCTTGAGGTCAGGCGAGGGTCGAGTAGTGTCGCTACGCAAGGTACTAGTATATAACGACCACATATCAAGTTGGAATTGAAAATGTAAGTTCCCTTGCTCCTCGAAGCCCTCCCCGGCAACAACGGACATTCCCACCTGTCGAGATACCACCCCTCTCACTCCTCCCGCAATCATACCGACGAATTCCTGCACAGCCAAAATGACCTCTCACCCTAGCGTCCTCTTCGTCTGCGTCCACAATGCCGGCCGCTCTCAGATGGCCGCAGGCTACCTTCGCCACCTCGCCGGCGACAAAATCGAAGTGCTCTCGGCCGGATCCGCCCCGAAAGACTTAATCAACCCGCAGGTCGTGGAAGCGATGCGGGAAGAGGGAATCAGTCTAACAGGGCAGCAGCCCAAGATCCTCACCGAAGACGCAGTGCGGGTCAGCGATGTTGTTGTTACTATGGGATGCGGCGATGCGTGTCCGTACTTTCCGGGAAAGCGCTATCTGGATTGGAAGCTTGATGATCGGGCAGGGCAGGGGTTGGAAGCTATACGGCCTATTAGGGACGAGATTAAACGAAGGATTGAGGGTCTTGCTGCTGAGCTTCTACAGTCTGCGTGAGGACGGGGTGGGATTATGGTGTAATATAGCGGGCCTGTTCTTCCGCTTCTTTAATGGGCACAGGGTCTCTACTAAGATAAGGGTCGAATTTCTTCTGTCCTGCAAGTGACTCAAGTGACTCTAGGAGATGCACAGTTAGCGTTAGGAATCTACACTGATCTTTCCTCTTATATAATTGTCCACGTTGTGTGGAAAGGTTTCCTATCTACCCACTGGGAGTAAACGCATGCTGTTCTTTTCTTTATCTCCTTCCCCCCGCTGGCTCTGTGCTGTCTCCATAAACCAATGAATGGGGATGTTTCTATGGGTGGGATTTTTGTATGGCAAAGCAGGTGGGCCCACATGGGGAGTGACATCTATAACAGGCGGCGGAACCAGGAGCCCAAAAATCCGGCCAATCATGGTCCGCCAGTGACATACTGCTCCTTTTCTGTGTCGATTGACTCAACAGGGTCTGAATATTCTTTCGCTCCAAATCGGCATTTCGCGATAATAACTTGAATAAGGAAGACTCCTCAGTGTTCTGCACCTCGCGCAAAGCCTCTCAGGTAATCTCTGATGTGGCATTGTCTAAGAAGCACGTTTTCTTTAAATTTAAACCCCTTACCTCCCACTTACACCACGGTACAATTTGCAGGCTTCTTTCACACGACAATGGCTATAGCCACTTCAAACGGCCAAAGACAGCCACTCGGATCTGAAATCAAATCCATAGTATCTGGGATTGTGCCATCCAGAACACTCGCAATATCTTCACTGGAAGACGACGTCGAAATCCGCCTGAAGTATCGCCCATTCCTCCTCAAGTCTGACTCGTCTCCGGACTGGATTAATGATCTAGAATTAACGTCTGTGCTTGACATGGCCGAGAAAGACCTGGCGGCCACAAATAGCCGGTTGAAAGTCCTCGTGCTCTACGGTAGCCTCCGACGTCGATCATACTCAAAGCTGGTGGCCTTTGAGGCCTCGCGAATCCTTTTCCGTCTCGGTTGCGACGTCCGTGTCTTCAACCCTGAAGGCCTTCCTGTAAAAAACGACGTCGATCACACGCATCCGAAAGTCCAGGAACTCCGAGCGCTGAGCACGTGGAGCGACGGGCATGTGTGGATCTCACCAGAGCAGCATGGGAATCTGGTGCGTCTCTCGCCTTTCGTCTCAGCCCATTATTATAAGGCTATACATGCTGACATATGAATCAAACATCAAAGACCGCGGTCTTCAAAAATCAAATTGACTGGATACCTCTTAGTACAGGATCTATCAGGCCTACTCAAGGCCGCACCCTCGCAATTGGACAAGTTTGCGGTGGATCACAGTCCTTTAATGCAGTAAACTCACTGCGCATCCTTGGTCGCTGGATGCGCATGTTCACGATCCCGAATCAGTCGTCTATTCCCATGGCATATACGCATTTCCCTGACGAGGGTCTAGAGGGGGACCAACGACTGAGACCGAGCTCAAATCGCGATCGATTGGTTGATTGTATGGAGGAGTTTGTCAAATATACGATTCTTATGAGGCCGCATCTTCAGACTTTCGGCGATCGGTTTAGTGAGCGTGAGGAAAAAAAGATCAAGGAGGCAAGAGTTAGGGCTGCTGTGGGGAACAGTTAAGCGTCATTCCATTGTTGTTGATTGATATATACACAGGATAGACTGTAACTGCCGCTTGACAAACGTCCGCGCTAGATAGAACATAGATGATTTTATTTCCGATAATGGATAATACCGGGTTCCAAGTGCGCGTCACATCTTGCAATGATTCCGCCTTGGCACCATCGCTCATTGGTTTGCTGACTAATAACGGGCTGTTTGTTACGAATGACTCTTTGACGTTATCTCCAACAACCTCCCCCCCGGCTCCATCATGCATCGATGGCCCTTTCGCAACTTCATCACATCCAGACGAATATATTGAATAATCTAGTGCGAGTCGAGTCCCATCGATACCCAACATCTGCGTGTCCGCCAGAAATCCCATATCAAACCCTAAGGCAGAGAGAGGCATGCCCCGCCCAAAACAAAAAACCAAGGCATGTCGTGACTAGGTTTTGAGCATCTGAAGTTCTCCGATAACATATATCTAGGCCGAAGACCTCATTCGGGTCCGAAATAATCAACGCAAATCGCGAGAGCGGAGGAAGCAACATGTTGCGGAGCTGGAGCAGAAAGTAAGGCAGCTGGAGTCAGCGGTTGCAGCGGTTAAAGTACCCATGCCGAGCATGAGCCTAGCAAAGGAGAATCGCATACTTAGAACCCTACTAGAGTCGATTGGGTTTGACAACTTATCGCTCGAGGGGTATCTACAGAGCGCCCCTTTTGGCGGACTGCAGGGGTCGTTAGAACCCGGTCTTATCGCTCCTGCGGGTCCCGTACCTGGTGTGGAGTTTGGGAGATTGGAGCCAGGGTCGATGTCTGTACGCGCTTGAGGTACCCTTCATATCGTAGTATTTTGGTGGCTAACCTATGTTCATCAGAGTGATCAACTCGACGCTCAGGCTACAGGAGAACCAAGTTCCAGTATTCGGAATATAGGCCTTGTTAGTCCCGATGTCTTGGATCTCTCGTACTCTGCCCCGATGCTAGGGGCAAATGAGACCTCACTAAACATAAATCAGAGTCAGCCTCCAACACGGGACACTGAATTAATCATGACCGAAGTTCCAGCCGGTATACTGCACGCCCCAGATGAAGAAGCCTTGCGGCCAGCAACCTCTGTCAACGGCGAGACTACATTATGCAGCGTCGCATTCAACCTCATTATCCAGTGCAACCGCACGGGCAAGGATGTGGTCGAGCTCGAGACGAAGCTGCGGTATGGGTACAAGATGCCCGCTGGTCCCGGGGAAGGCTGTCGGGTGGATAATGGGACTCTTTTGGCGGTACTTTGTGAGCTTGTTAGTGGACTTTAATCAGGACGCTGCCAGGGTCACCAGGGTTGTTTGATTACATTTCTTTTTTCGTTTCCCTCTCTTTTCTTTGTTGTCCCTCTCGTATTGCGTTGACTTAAGCAGGGTTGATAGCCTGAAAGAAATGCAGTATCTGGTATGTCACCATCTGACAAATGTAGGTAGAATGGGATGTCACTGTTTACACGTGGGGAAGTCTTGGCCATGTCACCACACATCATTTAAGCAGCCAGCCTCCGTTAAGAAGTTCCAGATTAATCCCAAAGCAGCCGGCCTATATTCATTTCCCTTGCTGCTGTGTATCTTTTTATCTGCTCTAAAATGTCAATGCTATTAGACAGCAGTTTTCTCGACGTGATCATCGTCGGCGCAGGACTTGGAGGTAATCTCAACCCTTTATCACTATGCGGCAAGCCGGATAATATGATAATAAGGTCATTGTCTAGGCATATGTGCTGCGGTAAACTTGCAGAAACAGTATCCGCACGCAACGTTCGGCGTGTTCGAGAAACATCACCGGATCGGGGGCACCTGGGCGAAGAATACATACCCAGGATTACGGTGCGATATTCCTTCAGTGGTATGTCTATCGAACTTAGCGGTTAACCAAGCTATTATCCCTGTTATTCTGTGGTACTTAGTTCTCTGGGCATGGAGTTTTCCGAAGTTGATATACTAACTACAACGCCGGCTTTGCAGCTCTACTCATACTCCTTCGCGCCTAACCCTAACTGGTCGTCCACGTATGCCTCGCAGCCTGAGATTCTCGCCTACATTGACGGTGTAGCTACCGGGCACCATCTTTCAGAGCGCATACGCCTGCAGCAAGAATGCCTCTCCGCCACCTGGAAGTAGGACGATCATACATGGGAGGTTCATTTCAAAGACGCTGCGTCAGGGACTCTCTATACGGTATATTGTCGGAGACTTATCACATCTGTCGGCTTCCTTGATGTCCCACGCGGGCCCGATGGTATTGTCGGGTTTACAAAATTCCAAGGGCGCGTCTTCCACAGCGCATCCTGGGACCATAGTGTCGATTTCGAGGGGCGCAATATTGTCGTGATCGGTAACGGATGCTCTGCAAACCAGTTTATTCCGTGGCTGGTCAAGCAGACGGGGTTGTCGAAGCTGACACAGGTAATCCGCAGCCCACACTGGATTGCTCCGAAGACAGATCGCATTATTGGTTCAAAAGAGAAATGGTACGTTCCGCATACTCATTCCCTTCTCACCATAATAATTTCTTTTCTTTTGCAGGCTTTTAAGCCACATCCCTTGGTTCCTAAAAACCCGTCGCTGGCTGCTTGCGACAAAATTTGACCTTGCCTTTGCGGCTTTTCGCAAGACTACACTTGGCCGGTTCCTGCGCACCCATCTTGAAGTGAACCTGAAACGGTATATGCAGCGAGCCGCACCAGCTAAGTACCATTCGCTGCTAATCCCTGCTTTACCTTTGGCGCCAAACGTCCTGTGTTAGATCATGGGTACCTCGGGGTCCTACATGATTCCCGAGTCGGTTTAAGGCTGTCAGAAAACCTTCGTGTGTCGGGCCCATACTCATTAGCAGCCGATGGGGGGCAGGAAATACCTGCAGAGATCCTGATTCTCGCAAACGGCTTCAAATCGCAGAGCCTAATCACGCCAATTAAGATACTGGGGCGAGATGGGGTTACCATATCTGATGTCTGGCACAAAGATGGCAGCTATCCGTCTGCTTACATGGGGTATGTAGATGCAATGATCGTACATGCCGGGAATCGCCTCTTCCTGACCTAGTGCGGCTTTGCTAACAGCTTGCAGAGTAACAGCTCCGTCCTTTCCAAATTTCTTTATGATAACGGGGCCTAATACACTACCCTCGGGCCACTCCACATTATTGGGGATCGAATGTTCAGTCGAGTACATTATGCGTGTGCTTCAGCCGCTATTTTCGCACAATAAACGCGATAGATGCAGATGGATTGATGTACGCCCTGCCGCGCATGAGATGTATAATGTCAACCTCCAGCACAAACTGGATGGACTTATTTACTCCGCTGATGTGCAGAATTGGTACGTTGATGCGCGAACAGGGCGGAATACGCTTGTGTGGCCAGGAACGCAGACCGAGTTTTGGCTTACACGTTGTGTCTGGCCTGTGAGGTGGGAGGACTATACTGTGGGGTATTAAATGAAAGGTTAAATGAATTTTTCTGTTTCTTTCTCTATCTATGTCTGTACCTGTGTACAAGGGTGTGTTTTGGATGACATTTATCCTTTTCCTCAATGTGCCTATTTGACTAGCCTCCTGTCTTCTGGCTTGTTCCTTTCCCTACTCCAGTACTTGCTCTACCCATCGGAAAAGAAACTAACTTGAAGACTGGATAGGCTACTTCGTCGAACCAACCCTCAAAGCAAGCATCTACAACTCCATCTTCAGCACCGACTCCTCTCGCCCCTGGGCCATCCCACAATACACCTGCCCCTCCGGGAACTGCACCTGGGACCCCGTCGCCTCGCTCGCTGTGCGCGCCCTTTGCGCAGACATCAGCTCTTCAATCCAAAAATCCTGCACGACGCACGACGACACTGACACCGGTATCCCATTCAACAACTGCACCGTCTCCCTGCTACATGACGGCGCGTCCGCATTTTACGCGGGTGGTATGTACACAGACGCAATCGCGCTGCAGGTGAAGCCGGTTACTGAACCCGTCGTGTACACGAACCACAGCACGCTGCCGGTAATTCAGCGCCTCGAGGCCATAGCAGCGGTCCCGGAGCCCGGACATTACATGGCGCAGGATATTCGCGACGACGGGCGGTATGTGCGACGGAGTGTGCGTTGGAGCTGGTGGTGCGGAGTGTGCGGGCGCAGGTGAGGGGGTCGGTGTATAGCGAGCGGGTTCTTAGAACACGGGCAGTCAGAACGCGGGCAGTCAGAACACGGGCAGTCAGAACACGGGCAGTCAGAACACGGGCAGTCAGAACACGGGCAGTCAGGGCCAAGCCAGCCAGCACCAGGATAATAAAAAACATGGTGATCAGAACCGAGGAGATCAAACCCAGGAGAGCTCAAACCACGGCAACAATCCTAGAACGATGAGAAGCTTCTATGCCGAGTGGTTGCGCGAAAATGATCTTGATGCTAATACTGAAGTTAGCACCCTTGGAGACCAACTATTTGGGAGATTCACGGCAGCAGCCCACGCTTACGCGGACGAATACGAACGCAGATTTGGCCAACAGCTGCAGGATGACATGGGTATTCTGAAGCGGTAGTCTGGACATGTTGCCATGGGCAGAGTCGGGCACCAGACGGGCCGACAGTACAAAGCAGCAAATATCGCGGGCGATATTGCAACACCGGCCTCAACTGTTTGTTCCGTTTCCTCGCCGGGCTTTTTGATATTTTTGTTTTCTAAATTATATGTTGCAGTGAATATCCCAGAACAGAATGACCTGATATCAAACAGACTGATGATTCACCCAGCCTGATTCTCATTCTGTTTGTTTCTTTTCCTCAGCGGGCTTTTCGAGTTTTGTTTTCCAAATTACATGTTGCAGGAACTATCCCAGAACAGAATGATATCGAACAGACTGATGATTCACCCAGCCTGATCCTCATGATAGCCGTCTTGTTCCTTCAATCGAGCATATAAAGCCCTGACACGCTCAGTGAAAGCAGGGGTAACAGAATTTAGGAAGTATGTCAGATTGCTTGGTGCCTGCTGTCACTGTTGTAGGCGTTTCATCAGCGTCGTTTCCCAGAACATCAGCAAAGCGTGTGGCAGAACGGGAAACCCCAAGTCTACGAGTTGTCTTGGTTTAGAAATTAAGAGCCCATTCCAAGAAATTTCACTTGGAGGAACAGACTGTACACTCCATTATATCCGTCGCCATTTCCATGTCGTATTTACACAAGCAAAGTAGACGTAACATCCGTCTTGGTACATTCACAGGGCAAACCTAGGCGCATTCAGACGACCAGGCGTGGAAGTCCGCCAGGGCGCGTGGCAGAGATGCCTTGGTGCTTTGCATGGCACGTTTTGAAAAGCTCCTCCCTGGGATCCGGATAACATGCCCGACATACGAGATGGAAGCATGGTGCAAGATAAACCTCGCGAAATATTGACAAGCACCCTTCGCATGGTCTGTTTCGCCGGTCTACGGTTGCCTTGGAATGAGCTGAGTTGAGCACGGAGATAACCTTCTCATACTCCCGCCGAGTATTCGTTAGTTGTTGCTGAAGCACTTTGCAGTTCTCTTTCAAACGGTGCGTATTTTGGACCAAATATTCCTTGGCCCAGATTGACATGGTAAACCGGGAGCCTTCTTGAAGCGTGCGCACCTCACGGGAGATCTCGTTGAGCAGGGAGCTTGCACATGCGCTGAATTTCCGCTCCCAGACGGTAGGCGTGTAGATGTAGGGCGATGGGCAACCCATATGCCGTTGGGAACATGCCCGACATACGAGTAGGAAGCACGGCGCAAGATCGACATCCTTCACCAAACGTCACTCATGGCATTGCCGCTTATTTCGATCTTCGCAGGCTCGAAAGTGGGCTGTCCGCAGCTCGAATTGCTTGACGCTCAATTGCCGCCTTGCGAGGCCCAGTTGCTCCTCAAGATATTTGGATCGATTCAAGAGACGGCAATGCCCTTCCCATAATGCGGCTCTGCCGTGTGCTGCTTCCTGCAACGAATCACCCCTTGCAACTCCAAGGTGGGACACCTCTTGCTCCAATAGTTGCAGAAGCGCTCTGGTATTTTCTTCGGATTTCTTGCCTGCCGTCCGCTTTTATGAGTATGTGTTCGACCGCGCATATGTTGCTTACTCACGCTCGGCTACAAGCTCAGTCAACCTTGCAGGCTCGAATTGGTAAGATGCCATGATAGGAATTCGAAAAGGGTCGCCCGAATCGCCTTAGAAAGGATGGGTTTGNTCCGTACCGGTCGGATGATCTGGCCAAGTTCGTCTTCCTGAATCCGGCAGCGGGAAATCAGGACGCGGTCCAAAGCGAACTCAGCCGGTTCCCACACGAGATAGCACGTTGATTGATGGTGCAGCACATCAAGGAGACAGAGAAAACGGGGATGAGCGATCCGAGAGACTTTCTGTACTGCTCTCTCGACCAGGGCCAAGTCTGTTCCAGTCGTCTGAATATGGACCACTTTCCCAGGGTTGTCACGGCGTATAGCAAGGGCAGCTTCGTGTCCGGCGCGAACTAGAGCCTTAGGGGTGTATATCGTCCAGGGGTCTCGGTGTATGATTTTTCGAATAAGGGGCCGTTCGTGGCGGCCTTTTCCGTTCCGACGTGCATTGCTTTCCCTGCCAGTGGGCGACTGAGTTGCGTGGCCTGGGCCGATCGCACTGGAGTCTGGAGTTGAATTTGCCAGGCCAACTGGAGGCGGATCATCCTTGAACCAGATGGTCCGTCGAGCGTCAGTTGTCGGCATGGTTTGAAGGCAAGANAGCAGACGTGCTACTTTATAAGATTTGCTTCGGCGTCATCTTGTAGCGAAGCTTCACCGGTGATTGTCATCGCAACAAGATGCTCTGCATCCAGCTCTCCCAGGAGCAGAGCGTTTCCGAATAGCACACCTGCTCCTCTGATCTGCTAATGCTATTCTCAGGATGTCGGATATTCGTAAGATCTGCAGGTCCTCACCTCGTCATTTCGGACCTGACGGTCGTTCCGATACTGAATTCCTTGTCATCAGCAGCGACGGTGAGAGAAGCAGGTGAATATAGCAGGGCTACCATTTCCTACAGCTTTCGCTTGAGATGCTTTACAGTCCCATCGCTATGCCAGAGGAACAATGAGTCAGCCTGGCGATTCCATTCCCAATGGTCCAAGCTGTGGTCAAACTGATGAACACAGACCATTGAATCGTATGGGACGTCAGCCTCAGCGCTCATGCAGCCACATGTCTGAATGGACGCCTTCATAATCTGCGGGGAATGAGCAGCAAAATGTCGAACGGATGGATTGCCCAGTCAGTGATCCGCAGCGTTGCTCGCCTGAGCTTTTCTGTGGGGATTGCTTGGCATGTCACGCCCAATCATGATAAGACGAATGTCCACGCCCGAAAGTTCCCAACTGCCCACTGGATAATTGTCCCAGCAGTTACTTGGTGCTGCACCTGCCAATCAGACAACTACCTTCATCTAAGCCTCCTGCTTCATGCTTCAGAAGAAAAGTTCCTGTCAGGAAGTTGAGGGTGGTTCACTAGCGCGCAGCTGCTCGCAACGACCCTTGACCGCCATGCCGCATTTATACCTTACATGCTGAAGCAGACACGCCGTCAATTTGCGATTGGATAGACTTCAACTTAATCCGAGTCCAATAACTCCGATTTTTTTTGACAAACATGGAGGGGCATTCAAATCACAACGCCTGCAAGATTAGTGGTGCTGAAACAGGGTCGTTTTCTCTTTCTCTCTCCTTCTCTCTCCTGTAGTTCTGCTTTTCTCCGCACTCTTAAGGGATCAGAAAAGTGACTCGCGCCGTAGGGCAGACTCGATGTGTATGACTCCAATCGTTTATATCCTGGGCCAGCCGAGCCGGCATAACGGTAGTCTCCGTCTCTTCCTTACGGTACTACAACGCCCTTCTTTAGACACACTTTTATGTATCATCTCAGAGATAGAAAGAAAGTCCGAAAAGCGATACATTTTCTCTACGAGCCATGCGACTTCGATCCGCATTCATTTCGCTCGTTAGTCTGGCCGGTCATGTCACCCAGGGACAATTTCTCCGTCGCGACGGTCTCGCCCCCAATGAGACGGAAACCTATCGGAAGGGATATCGATCTGTGGCGTACTTTGTGAACTGGGTATGTGTACCTGACGCCGCTGCGGAGAATGGCTACCTATATATCTTCCCTAGGCANCTTGGCGCGCGAACAGTCTCCGTGTCTGGACCAAAGATACGGAGATGTCAGGAAACTAAGCCAGATCGGGCTCTAGAGGGCAATCAGATAACTCCCACCCAACTCAGGTGTGGTGCGAGGCACTTCGGGTCCCTTGAGAGGAAGACCACATAGGACAGAAGGGTAGTGGCCATTGGGCCGCCGCGCAGGACGTGTTGATCTGACCTTGGCTTTCTTGAGAACGATCATCACGTGACTGTTACTGCAAAAACAACAAACAGCTCATTCAATCAATTCGAGCGATCGCAAGCGTCCAGACACGTCCACCCGTGTGATCAACAGTTGTACCGGCATGAACCGGACTGTCCGTCATGTTTAGTTCGCGGACAAACTCCACGGGAGGGGTTGATGGACGCGCTGAGCGGCTCTTTAAAAATTCTGTGGATCTTTGAGTCCGCATGTCTGGCCCGCCGTGGAATTAGTAAGCGTTTGGCGAAACGCTAGCCCGTGAAACCGTGGCCATCCAACTCGGAGGCTTCTTCATGGGAGCATGGCGTTTGACAGACAACGTCCTGCACACCAATCGCTCCAGACGCATTGGCTCTGGCATCGTTGATTGCCACGCTCTAGCCGCTGCCCTGGCTAACTTTGGATCATCGGTGTGTGGCGGCTCACCCATCCACAGTGCGTCATCCCCGCAGTGAGCAGGTAAGATTGGGCAGCGGCTCGACCACACCTGGCAGCTGAAATGGTTTAATCTGAGGCTGAACGCTGGCCAGATCATCATGGTCGAAATTCCCTCTGCCATCCTCAGAAGACGGAGACTGCTATCCTATATCGATCTTTTTGTTTACTTTTCTTCTTCACACCCAACAGCCCCGTGTGTCCGCACCATGCCATCCAAGAATGCACTCGAAGTCCCGACTCCTGTACGATCGCCTGGATCGCTGCTCTTCCGATCGAGCGGGCCGCTGCGGAAGCAATGCTTGATGAGGAACATGCCGCTCTGACCGGCTTCGCCAGACACAAGACCGATGCGAACATCTATACGTGGGGTCGCATCGGAAAGCCACAAGATTGCAAAATACCTTGCGCTGCATTATGGTCGCATCATGACCATTCTGTGAGCAAAAATCGCACTGTCCCATTGATGGATTGCGAGCCTGCATTCCGGATGACCTGTGGTAGGGTGATAGGGGACAATGATATCGTGCCCGGCTCACTGATGAACGTAACGCAGACATACTTTATACTGCAGCTCGCTTCATAATTCGATTTAAGCACTGAGCAGTCCGTGAGATCGCGACTACGGGTTCGCCGCGAAAGGAGATCATATCCGAGTGCTATCTGCACCCGAGAATGATCGAAGTCTTGGCGAAAAGATCGGTTAATCTTGGCTGCTTCGACCCGGTACAGATTTCAGGTCCTATCGTTTTCCTGGGAAGACACCAATAGGATTGCTGGTCCTGTCGAGCGACGAGCGTCTACAGTTCATTCCCGCGGGTGCTCTTTTGAAGGCATGGATATAGTACTGTTATTTTCCCATCATTTTAAGGAAACCCAGAGGAGGAGGAGTTCAGACCGCATCGCTGTGAGTGAACAAGTTCTACCTCCACTTCGATGTCAATATGCTGTTTGACATGTAGTCGGAAATGCCCCATTGTCGCCCGGCCTCCCCCAACAGATCTACTTATCCCAGCGTAGCGGGCAAGAAACGACTCTGCGATATGCGGTCTTGTTGACTAAGTTGACAAGCTATTTCAGGCTCCCATCCCCAGCTTCACACCGCATCAGTGGGTGCTATGAAGAGAACGCATGCCAGCGTCAGCGTATACTGTGTTGGCGTGAAATAAGTTGTGGTTACCTGCAATAGTTTTTCCAGATGACCATCGGCTTCGGCAAGACGGGTCGCGAAATCCAGTACGTTGTCGCTCCAACAATAGTCCGCCCCGTTTCGTCGCATCAGCTGGTCCACAATGTCCCGCAAGTCGGCCAGTCTCAGGCTGGCTGCGTTGATGTCGGCCGGGTTGATTGGGCGGCAGCGCTCAACACCATCTGGGAATCAGTTAGCGTAGACAGGGAAAGGGATTTCTGCCCTTACAAAGTTTTACTTGGCCCTCCGGGGTAATCACAATATGTTCTTGAGCGAGATCTTTGCCTGGTAGAACCAGGCCATTGTCACAGAAATTTGATGCCTTCTATAATCTTCCAAC